GGGGGACTTCTCATTTTCTGTTTCTCTGTCTCTCTCTGTCTTTCTGGTGAGCACACATGCTGTATAGTAAAAACCTCTCCCAAAAATAAATAAATGAATTTTTAAAATATTTTTAAGACTATTGATGCTTTTATTATTATATATGTTGCAAAGCTTTTTTTCCATTTTGTCATTTATCTTTTTGGTTTAGTTTCAGTGTTCAGTACTACACACAGTTGTCAATATTTTTGTTTAAGAAGGGGAAGCCTAGAGGTTTTTTTTTTGTTTGTTTTTTTGTTTTTTTGCTATAGGGTGCATGTGCTTGCCAGACAGACAGAGAGAGACAGAGAGACAGAAAGCAAGAAATCACCCCCCTGGGGGGGGGTGGCATGGCCAGACCGCAATCCTTTCTCCTCCATCCACTTGGGATCTTGGACACACATGCACACGCGCGTGGCGTGAGTTTTAAGCCACCGGGTCTGAGACTTGAACTGCGGTCGACTACATGGGAGTCCAGCGACATAGCCATTATGCTAACTGCTGGTCGTGAGTTGTCAATTTTTTATAAAGGCAGTCATAGCCATTTTTTCTTCCATCAGTGCACTTGCCATGTTTAGAAACCGTTCTGGAGAAGATCTTCAACCATCTCACCTCCACTCTCTACGTAATACTGTTAAGTATTTAATCTCAAACATGTGAAATTAAATTGGGCACAGGAGGGTCTCCAGCTGTGCTTTTCACCCTGATTATTGCAAGCAAGTAGTTCGGTTTTAATTTAACCTTAGTCTCTCAGCAAAGGGGGAGCATGAGGATGTTTGTTGGGATTATGTAACCTTTTGGTCCCTCCCTCTAGGCAATTTATCTACCTTTCTGTCAGTTAGATGATTCTGTCTTCACTGAGACCCAGGAGAGATTTCTATCTTAAGAAATAGCTGTGTGGGACCTTTTATCTTACAAAGTTCCACTGTTATTATCTTCAAATGAAAAAAGTCAGCAGAAAATATTTTTTACCTGTGCAAAACAGGAAAAAAGTATATATAGACTCAAAGAGCCTCCAAATCTCTGAAATCAAGAAAAGATTTTTATAATAATATTATAAAAACACAGCAAATAAAAATAGAGGGTTCCGATAGGTTCTGTGGTTTACTAAATAATCTTTTCTAGAGTATAGACTAAAACATGAATAAATGAAAATATTTAGTCTTTAGTTAAGCGCTCATTAACTATACAATCATAAGAACTCATGTACCGAAGTCAGACTGTTCATTCCCCATTCTATGAAGTACAATCTGTACCATTAAGCTTTCCTTTCATTCTCTCATTTTCACCTTTAAAAGTTACCATGATCCAAAGAAAATCGTGTTGCTGCACTCAAGGCTTTTACCCAGTCTTGCTGGGTTAATAGCATGTCATTACCAGAAAGTTGAAAAGAGCCTAAAACATATGCCCTGCTTGGTGCTAAATTACTTAAGCAGGTGTGCACATGAATAAATGTCCACTGACATTTCTGAAATCAAAGGTTGTTTTTAAAAGTCTTTAACATGTCAGAGTTTCCATATAGCACATCTTTCATTTCAGCTGAGTCTCTAGAAAGCATTTCCCTCATTATGAAGAATATTTTTGAGTACTTGAGGATAGTACTCTGTTAGAGCTAGAAACTTCTGATATTTGATAACTCATTCTTTTTATGCACTGCAGATGACAGAATCAAAAACTGGACAGACTTCAGAGCATGGAATCAAACCATTCTAGGAGACATTGTAACTTGATATTATTTTGTCTCCTTCTAGTCTGTGTAAAACTTACAATTGTGTATAAAGCCTGGTCTAGTAGGGAAGATTTGTTAAAGCCTTGAACACTATTAAGTCATACTAATGCAAAATGTAACAAGGTAACATTATTCTTATGTAATGCAGATATTTGCTCAGAGATCCTGGGCTTCCACATACTAGCGCAATGGCTATGTCGCTGGACTCCCACATAGTCGACCGCGGTTCGCGTCCTGGACCCAGAGGCTTAAAACTCACGCTGGGTGCGTGTGCGTGCGTGCCCAAGATCCCAAGAGCAGAATGGAGGAGAAGGGACTGTGGCGTGACCTTCCCCCCTGGGGGTTGATTTCTCGCTTTCTGTCTCTATGTCTCTGTCTGTCTGGCGAGCGCACGCGCCCTATAGCGAAAACCTCTCCAAAAAAAAAAGAATAGATAGTTGAGGAATGGCTCATAAAAATGAGGCTGTGAACCAAGCCTTGCTGCTGAAGTAAGTAAGCATCCTCTGCTGTGGCAAATGCAGCGTGTGCTGGTGGTTGGAGTAGCAGCGCGAGGACAGGGCAACTGATTTTTTAAAATATACTTTAGTTTTTTAATCATTGTTGAGGAAGAATGTATCTTTTGTCACACACTTTCCAAATTTCTGCAAAATTCAGTCAATTCCTTATTTATTTATTTATTGAGAGAGATTTTTGCTGTAAGGCAGATGTGCTTGCCAGAAAGACAGAGAGACAGAAAGTGAGAAATCACCCCTTGGGAGGGATGGCAACACCACAATCCCTTCTCCTCCAGTCTCCTCTCAGAATTTTGGGCCCAGCATGAGTTTAAGCCGTTGGGTCTGGGACTTGAACCACGGTCGACTACATGGAAGTCCAGTGACGTAATCATTCAGCCATCTGCTGGTTCCAGAGTCAATTCTTACATATTAAAATTCCTATAATATGGGACCAGCAGATGGCCTCATGGTTACATCACTGTACACCCACGTAGTTGTCTGCAGTTCAAATCCCAGACCTGGCGGCTTAAAATTCACACTGAGCATGTGTGCGTGTATACCCAAAATCCCGAGTGGACAGTGGAGGAGAAAGGACTGTGGCATGTCCATCCCCCCAGGGAGTGATTTCTTATTTTCTGTCTCTGTCTCTCTCTATTGAGCGCATGTACCCTATAGCAAAAATCTCTCTCTCAAAAAAAAAAAAATCCTGTTATATACAACTGGAAAAAGGTTTCCTAATTCATAAATGAAGGGTCCAAATTAAAAATGTATAAGAGAACATTTTTCCTGTTGCAAATGCCCTGGCTCATGGCAGTAGTCTATACGATATAGCCACTGTCGTACCCAGTTTTCATGGTGAGCAGCAGTGCACATTCTAAGAGTGGCTCACGGAGGCAGGATGATGGCCTCTGAGGTGGCCAGGTCAGGAGCACAGGGCAACCCCAGCTGGGTTACAGAGCAGTTATGCAACCCGGGCTGGGGTGCAAGGTGCCTATGTCATCGAACAAAACAATGCTGAGTCCTACCAGCACAATCCTATAGCTGAGCTACAATTTGTTCCGTTTCTCCCAGGTGACTTCTGTGTCCTCTTTGTGGGAAAAGCCTCCTTTGGAGAGCAGGAGCTGTGTACCTAGCCCTCCCCTGGAAAGAACAGCAAAGGGCAGCTTGCAGGATCTCGCACAGAAAGCCACTCTGAACATACCCGACAGTAAGCAGCACAGCACTCTGGATGCTGAGCTTTCCAAGCAGCCTGGCAGCAACCGAAAGCTTGGAACCACCGGCCAGAAGGCAGAACCCATTTCCATGGGCCATTTCCACAATCTCCATGTCTTCCAGCAACAGCTGATTGAGAAGCAAAAGAAGAAACTTCAAGAACAGCAGAGAACAATTCTCGAGCTGAAGGAAAACCAGCGGCTGGCAGAGGCTCGGTGGGCAACAGAGTGTGCCACAGCGGTCACAGACACACAGAGCCACCTGCTGGCAAGTCCCAGGGGAGAAGAGGAACCAAAAGGAGCCAGCCAGACACTTCTCAGGTATGTGTGTTGCATTAGAACATTTTCTGGACTCATTTTTTATTTAGCTTATTCATGAGAGGGAGAAAGAGAGAGAGAGAGAAAGAAAGATAAGCACTCCTGACAGGGTCTCACCCCATGACCCTTCCCCCTAGTCACTCAGGATCACAGGCACACACGTGCACTCAGTATGTACAGGTCAACCTGGGAACCAAACCGCCCTTCCACATGGCTTCAGCATTGCAGAGTGACACACCACCACGGCACCACTGTGGCTGGGCCTCTTTGGATTTTTTTTATGGGGTTTCTCACTTTGGGGTAGAGAAGCTTCTGAACTTCTTCCCTTTGCTTCTTTCTAAACGCCATTTCTCTTCTTTTATTGTACTCTCAAAGCAAAGAGGTATAAGCACAGTAGTTAAGGGAGCCAGATCCCACAAGGGGAACTGCAGTTTGAGTCCCAGCCCCAGTGACTTGAAGAACATACCAGATGTGTGTACCTGTGTACCCCAAATCCTGATGGGCTGGAGAAATGACAAAAGGGATGACGGTATGACCAGGCCCCACAGGGATGCTCTCTCTCTCTCTCTCTCTCTCTCTCTCTCTCACACACACACACACACACACCCTGTGACAGTTAAAAAAAAAAAGAACCCATAGGTTGTGACTGATACATGAGTGTAAATGGGTATCTGAGGTTAGTGGCTGCCTACAAGGATGCAGGTTTACAGTTAGCACTGGGTCAAGACTGCCTCTGTCTGAGGAGCTCTGTCACTATACCAGTGACAAAGAAAAATTAGGTTTCTGGGTTTCAGATTCTGTTTAGTGCTGAGAAGGCAGGTTGGACAACATTGGGTCCACATGGAGCAAACCCTGGGCGGGCTAGTTATCTGCTTCAATTTGTAGTTGTTTGGAATAAGAATCCAAATTTCTCAAAGTCATTTTAAATGGTTGCAGACGCCTTAAATGTCTCAAGACATACTTACTATGTACAGTAATTGGCAGGATAGGAAATGGAGGTAACCTATGGATTTGAAGCACTAGAATAGACTCAGAGTGCCTGACTCACATCATAGACTCGGGCCAGTTGGTCAGCTTTTCTAGACACTGTTATGCCAAATGTACAGAGTGGGTGCAATCATGCACAGTTATCGCACAGAGAAAGGATTCATTCGTTTGTAAAATGCTTTGAATTCTTCAGGTGAAAGAGCTTTGAAGGAAGCTAGCTGTTGGTCTGAATTCTTTTCCCTTCTTTATTCCCCCAGTTCGCCTGTGGCTTCCCATGGGACTGAAGGCAGTAAAAATGGTTCCCGCAATTCTCTTTCTGGATGCAGAAGGAACTCAAAGCAGCCGATGGCACCCCATCCCATCCTGAAAGGCAGGGCTGTCTTGGGGGTGGCTTTGGTGATGGTGATCTTCCCTGCCAGAGCAGAATGGTCAAAATCTAAGATGGGTTGGTCATGGGAGGACTGGAGTGCAGCAAACAGCTCCTCTGCTTTTTTCCTGCCCCTTTAGCAACCATTTTGGCCTTCTCAGCTAAACATACAGAGTTGCTGAAAGGTATATCGTTTTTCCATAATTTGAGATTTGAATTATAAAAAAAAAAAAATTAGATGGTTACACAAATAAGAACACTGAGTATATGAGACCAGCAGTTAGCATAATGGCTGTGTCGCTGGATTCCCATGTAGTCGATCGCGGTTCGAGTCCTCGACCCGATGTCTTAAACTCACACCAGGCACGGGTACGTGCGTGCCCAAGATCCCAAAAGGAGAATGGAGGAGAAGGGATTGCAGCGTGGCCATCCCCCCTGGGGAATGTCTCTCTGACTCCCTCTGTCTTCCTGGTGAGTGCACGTGCTCTGTAGCAAAAACCTCTCCAAAAAAAAAAAAAAAAAGAACACTGAGTATCTGCTAAGAATAAACTTCAATAAAGATCACCTATCACTATACTTTGTTAATGTTAAAATATAACAATACCAGTTTACAGCAGTCCAAGTCATTTTCTACTGCATTATATCTTCATAGGGTTCTAGTAATGAAATCTACAAAGCAGGTATTTTGATTTGGTAACATTTTCTTTTTTTTTAGAGAGGTTTTTGCTACAGGGTGCATGCGCTTGCCAGAAAGACAGAGAGACAGAAAGCGAGAAATCACCCCCCCAGGGGGGAATGACCATGCTACAATCCCTTCTCCTCCATTCTTGGGATCTTGGGCACGCACACACATGCGCCCGGCATGAGTTTAAGCCCCCAGTTCTGGGACTCGAACCGCAGTCGACCACATGGGAGACCAGCAACATAGCCATTACGCTAACTGCTGGTCCCAATTTGGTAACATTTTCGATAAACGTAGAAACCCTTAAATTCAGCAACACTGTGAAAAACGTTCTTCAGAAGAACCTACTGAATCTACTAATTCTTTTTCTGATTAAGTATATAGAAATGTTTTTCTAGGGACCAGCAGATGGTTTAATGGTTACATTGCTGAATTTCCACGTAGTCTACTGCTGTTTGAGTCCCAGACCCAGCAGCTTAAAACTCATGTCGGGTAGTGCCAGCGCATGGCATGGTAGTTAAGGGCACTGGACTGCCACATGACCGACCACAGTTTGCATCCCAGACCTGGTGGCTTGTTTTCTCACTTTCCTGCTCTCTCACTCTGTCCCTCTGTGATCAAATTTAAATAAATAAGTAAAGTAAGTAAGTAAGTTAGATAAAATAATTCTTAAAAGGAAATAATAACTTTTCTAGGGACCAGCAGATGGTTTAATGGTTACATTGCTGGATTTCCACGTAGTCTACTGCTGTTTGAGTCCCAGACCCAGCAGCTTAAAACTCATGTCGGGTAGTGCCAGCGCATGGCATGGTAGTTAAGGGCACTGGACTGCCACATGACCGACCACAGTTTGCATCCCAGACCTGGTGGCTTGTTTTCTCACTTTCCTGCTCTCTCACTCTGTCCCTCTGTGATCAAATTTAAATAAATAAGTAAAGTAAGTAAGTAAGTTAGATAAAATAATTCTTAAAAGGAAATAATAACTCATGCATGCCCAAAATTTTGAGAGGAGAATGGAGTAGGGATTGTGGAGTGGCCATCCTCTCAGGGGCTGATTCTCACTTTCTTTCTCTCTTTCTCTCTCTCTCTTTTTCTCTCCAGCAAGCACACGTGTCCTATAGTGCCCTATAGTGAAAAATCTCTCTCTAAAAAATAGTTGTTTTTCTATACTCAGTCACTGTTTGTATAAGTTAGTTGGCACTCTCACAATTATATAGTGGTTTGTAAATTGTATTTCTTTTTAACCTGTGGCAGAATTGCTGCCCTGACAAGGAGTGAGACATCTGCAGGACACGTGCTTGCAGTCAGTTTCTGTTCATGAAGAAACTGTCTTTGCACTGACTGCCAGGACAGCAGTTCATGCCATCTTTGCACACCACTAAGGCTGATGGAGAAATGTCCAGTTCAGGGTGATACTTTTTTTTTTTTTAATTACTGTTTGATGAAGGAGTTAGCTATTTTAGAATCTCAGTCTACTTTTCAAGTAGCCTTTGATGATTCGATCAAGAAAAGATTGGGAAAGGGCATATTACCAAAGACTCTGCTTCTCAAAAGCTCTTTCACTTTAATCCTCTAGACTGTTCAAAGACAATCTCACTCCCACCATCTGTGGCACCATCACCATTATTTTGCAGCAGAGCAGACACTTATTATCTGTAAGAAGTAGCCTGTGAGTTTTTTGTTTATTCTTAAAACTTGGACTTACATTCTTTTCTCTATAATATGGCACAAGGAACTGAAAATAACTATTGGCTGGCTTAGGTTAGCAGAACTTGATACTCCTCCCACCCATGCCCCTCTTCCTATGAAAGTCCCACTGATTACAGAGTCATATTATCAGACCATCTTGCACATTTGTTTCTTTTGGATCGATATTTAATAGACTGTCAAGAACAGGAGTCTGACACTCAAATTCATTCAGATGCCAGTTCTCCAAATGCCTGGTATGATTCCATTTCCTGCCCATCTGGATACCCATGCCTTAAAATTAGATTAAAATGTATTCATCGTGACCCCAAACTTTAGTTTGTTTGTTGTTGTTGTTATATATACAGTCATATGTACAGTGACTTAAGAAAAATTAGCAGACTCAGTGGGATTTGAGGGATGATCCTATTCTCAAAGTATTTGCTAGATATTATTAATGTTTTATATATTCACCAAATTAAAATTCTGGTTTCTGAGTTTATATACTATAAGTATCATCAAAGAACATTATTTAAACTACTAAACAGTTATTCTAATAAAAACAAACAAAAACATAGTCAAGCTACATTTTGTTCATCACTGCTGATAACGGGGTTATAGGTCTTTCACTTATAGAGTATATATATTATATAATCTGTATTTTTTCCTGAGATCATGGGCATTCATCTTGCAAGAAAACCCACTAATAACACAATAACACTACATTTTATTTTTAAATGGAAACATTTCTTATGTAGTCTTCCTTTTTTTTTTTCTTTCTTTTTTTTTTTTTTTTTTTCTGGAAAT